GCAGATGAAACAGCCACGGTTGTTGAAACTGGGTTTTTGGAGTGGGGAATGTCACTGGTGTTGCCATGGGAGAGCGTACGAGCGTGCAGGAAAACTTCAGGAAATACTCAAAGCAGCAGTGAGGGCTAAACGCTATTAATAGATGAATGCTGTTAATTTGGTAGGTGAGGAGACAGGCATGTCAGTACTGAACAACATGAAAATCTGTGAATTAGGACAGAAGTTATATTTTTGCGTTCTGTTTCCGTATTCAGCGTGTGAGATTGCTCCGCTTCTGAATAACAGTGGGAATGACTGCAGAGTCCATCAGCGCTTCTCAAATGTACCTGCCTTTGTGATGTCTGTGCTTCGGCTTGGATTTCTTTTGCAGTAGATGTTCTGGTATTTCTGCTGTTCTAGTTTCTAGTGATTTTCAGATGGAATTTATATTCGTTTCCATCTTTTTTGTTTAAGCGTTTGCTGCATTTCCCTGTGATTAGCGATGTCTGATTCAAGGAACTATTTATAGTAGCATAGTCAAGCACTTGCTTGAACGTTTTCAAGCTTAGAGCCTTTCCTTGGAGATGCCGTTTTAATGTAAAATGTTTCTAAAAGGGAAAGATTGCTGCAGAAACAAGTGCAGTGCCTACTTAATTTTGATTTCAAAAGGACACGTACTGTAGTTAATACACTTAAACGCAAGTGGTTTTTTTCCCTGAAATTTCAGTAAATGGTCTTTTCAGCGGGATGTTTCTGTATTAAATCTGAAGGTCTCTATACACTGGCTTTGTAAATGTGTGCGTTTCAAATCTGTCTTACTAGTATTATTATTATTTTTTCATTTCAGGCACGTGTCAATCCTGTCAATGTCACTCCGCCGATACAAGCTGTAGATCAGGACCGAAACATCCAGCCTCCTTCAGATCGACCGGGCATCCTCTATTCCATCCTAGTTGGTTGGTGTTTGCTACTCTTGCTATCCCTCACTCTATTTATGGTCAGAGAAAGACTTAACTGAGAGAGTGGAAACCTAATAAAAATTCACATTGTGGTTAGCGGGATGTTTGAAATAACTGTTCTACCTATTTATGTGTAAGTGCAGTTTAGAAGCTTATTTCAGCTGGCTGTATTAGTTGTTGTTGTTTATTCAGATTAGATTCAGAATTATCTACTTTGGCCAATGGAGCAGCACAGCGAACAAAACGAGATGCTTGTCTGTGCTCGTAGCTTTGCTGCAATGCATTTTTTTCATTCGGAGGTGCCAAGGCGCTCCAAAAGATGCTTTAGAAAGGCAATTACAGCACATTTCCTCCCCAAAGTCTTTTGGCACAGAGCAATTTAAAGGGTCTGACTGCGTCCGCCTTTCATTTTGCTGCCTGTGATCTTGCATGCTTTCCCTTGTATTTTAGTGGTTGTGTCATTGTCTACAGCATTTTCTGGCCACTGAGGAATGCAGTTCTGGACAGACTTCAGGGATACCCACCTTGTTGTGGCTTGCCTTGCATTCGGCTATTTATCCCCCCCCCCACCCCCGGCCCACTGTTTTCTTCTCTTTCACGTTTATTCCAATTCCTTAACTTGTATGATTTCATAATGGAAAGGCCTAAGGCAGTGTTTTTCAGTTCCAGTCCTCCCTGTGCTCTGCTCTTCCCCAAGTGCAGAGACTAACACTATAGTCACCTCTGTGCCCTGCAACTAGCCTGGGAATTGAGAACTTGTGTGTGTTGTGGAACCTCATCGTTGCCGTGCTGTTTGCTGCTTTAGACCTCAGCTGCACGGGTTTCTCACTGTGAAAGTGACGTTTTTAATGAGCAGATTGCACAGTTCTGCTTCTCATAATAAAAGATGCTTATGGATATTATAGATCTGTTTTGTAAATGGGGAAATATAATAGGTTTGGTTGTTTATAAGTTTGGCTATTTAGTCACGCACCGCAAGTACAACAGTTAGTCCCTTTGTTTGAAGTTCTTTACGTGGCTTGCAAAGTTCATTATGAGGTAACTGTGTTTTTAAAAAAAAAAAAAAAAAAGTGTGTTTCGTTGATATTTGTTCTTTTTAATGTTTGTATCATTATCTTGACCCGGGAGAAATAATTTAGAAAGATTTGTTATAGGAGCGGTTTTATTTTTTGGATTGTTCATTAGAAAGGTTATTTTTGCCATGGTCTTCCAAAGGATTCCATTTTAGATTTAAAATCTATCTTCGTTTCTGCCAGCGTGCAATGCTATTTTTATTGGAGTCTTTATCACAGAATATATTAAACAGTTTCACAAAAAAATAGCCCTTACAGGTATTTCTTGTTATAGGGATTTTCCTTTCCTTTAGATGTGAACGTAGCTCTTCCTTATACTTTGAGGTATGTCTTGCTGGAAGGTGTGAAGTATGAGAGAATAAGCTACTTAGCTGAATGAGAGATTGATTTTGAATTTGATTTGCTCTGAGTTTTAGTTTGGTGCTTTTTCTACTCTGCTCCCCTGTCATCTTTCCCCTGCCTACCTCTACACCAAGACAAGTGCTGGCATACGTCTTGGGCCCTGTGAATGTCATATATGAGGACAAGTCTGCCTATCTTTCTCGGTACCTCTGAGATGTGCTGTAAAGAAGCCTCTCTTTTAACAGAGCCTAGCATCACTGCAGTGATAGCTCTCACTTCTACTTGATGTGACTTACTAACCTAATCCTTAACTGCAGAGAAGGGTCCCTGCCTGTCAAGCTTTCAAGCCAACTAGCCCTTCAGGCATTCAGGCAAACACCTCGGTGCCGCTTCCACCAAAGCGAGAGATCTTTCCCAGGAGGAGGCTACAAGGGATCCTCGCAAGCTGCAAGTTGCAAGAGCAACCAGTTCTCCTGCAATTCATTGGCAAGGAGTTAGGGACTCGCACAACGTGATGAAACAGGATGCCCGCGAAAGTCTTGTCGCGTTTTCACGCGAGCGTAGCGCTTCTGAAGGCCAAAGCGACTTGAGGGTAGGGCACACCAGAAACGAAGGAATAGCTGACGTGTGTTACCAGTGCATTATTTTCTGCTTGCTTGCTGCTTCCGAACTGGAGTGCAGTCCTCTCAAATTTGAGAGGCAACGTATCAAGGTGCCTGAAAGTACTTGTTCAAGTAGTAGTTCCAGTAGTCCACTGGTATGGATAAAATGATGGAAGATTAGGTTTGAATATTCTTGAGAGTCACCCTAAAGATTAGAGACTAGTTGCAGCAGAATGCTCCTGGGATTGTTATCTTCTACTTCAAAGTATTAGTTAGTGTACCTGATGAAAGAAGTACCTTGCAAAGCACAGTGAAGTACTTTACTGGAGAAGCATTCAGGAGAAAGTGGACTTGGGCAGTGCTGTAGTATTTCATCTCTTACATAATGTCTTATGTTTTCGTATTTAGAAAGTTGATGTGTGGAATTTTTCTTCCTGCCCCGTGCTGTATGTTTTCCACTCGTTGCCTTTCAGGAATGTAAATATATTTCATTCCTTGTGTTGGGCCGGCGTAGAGCGACTGGCATACACAAATAAGTAAGCAAGCCCTCGTCCCTTACTTTGTGCAATAAAAAAGAGGTAGAACCCAGCTCACCGGTTGGAAGCTCACCTTCCAGGTTTGACCCTGGAGCCGCCTCTCTGACCTTTTTGGGCCAGTTTTGGACAATTAGGCGTTCCGTTTGTTTGATACTGAAATAAAGAGCCAAAAAATCCAGCAGTGTTTTCAGGGACTTCTCTCCAATTCCGTGAGCTCACTGATGAATTAGCCTACTGCACAGTTAGCGCCCTCCTCCAGCTCCAAGAAAATCAGCCCTAAGAGCACTCTTCAGCTTGGGTCCGTCTTTCTCTCCTGCCTGAAGTCTTCACAGTAGAAGAGATCGTATTCTGTCCTAGGTTGTCACCTAGCTGTTTTGGTTTCCTAGGCCAAAGGAGCCTAACCGGAGGTCCGTTGTTGCACTACGGGCAATGAAAATGAGCATCCTCGGCTCCACATGTGTAAAGATTGAGAAAAGAAACCACCAAAGAAACCGTATGATGCTTTCAGCATCATATCATCACACCCTTTGTTTGTAGTCCTCCTGTCTCCAGGGCGCTCACAGGCTTTACCAAGCCACTGGTGTGTGCTAGCCCACCACCTTTCAATGCCACGTGCCTCCCCCTAGACCTCTCCAAACTCGCAAACCAGATTAATTTCTGGAGGCAGGAGACTCGTGTGTCCCTAGAGCTTTAGACCTCGTGGCTTTTACTGAGTTACGTCTTCCTCCAAGCAGGACTCGTGAGGCTGGCAGCGTACTGGTAGTGGGAACAGTTCTCCAGCGGACAGTGCTGGTCTCTTCGCGCTGGTCTTTTCACGTTTTGAAGATGTATAGTTCCAGTTGCATTAGGAAGTCCCTTTCTTCTGGAGCCAGATCAGGCAGCGGTGTGGATTTAAAGGCTAGAGATTCTGCCTTTATGTAGGTTTTACAGTAGTGAAATTACTCCCTAGTGATTTCTTCCTGTTACTACTCTGTCTGGGTGTATGGCATGTATGTATAGGGAGATATTCACAGAGTGTTCACAGTACATCTACCCAATGGAGCGTATGGTAGTAAGTGCCATAGAGGGAGGTGCAGTTTTAATTATTGCATGTGGCTTCAGGCAGTAACTCTAGGGGAGCTACTGAGTTTCTGAAAGTAGTTTCTGATCATTCCTCTGGGGAGATGAGCAGCCACAGCACTGTTTACCAGAAAAGCCTGGGACTTGTTGCCCTGTTTATACCGCATCGAGGATTTGGCACGGCGGTATTTGTCTTGCTCTCGTGGCAGCTTTAAGATCTAGAAACTCAGGAGCTCAGAGGACTTGCTGGGGCTTCTATACCGTCTCAAAAGAGTGCTTTCCGAAAGCCTTTCATCTGCTACGCAGGACGATGGCTAGACCTGAAATGACTCAAGATCTTAGACTTTGAATCTGCGTTTTGGGGTTTTTCGACTGCTTTTAATAATACTGATGAGGATGCCAAGAGTTCATGCTGTTTCTAAATGCTTTTCCCTTGTCCTCTGCTCATGTTTGTGTTCTCACGCCTCCCTAGCTGAAGGTCAGACTAGCTCAGGAAAAGCCAGAAAATTAGACGGAGATGAACTGGGATGAGACACAGCGATTAGCCCAGACGAGGCTGAGGCAGTTTTGTGCTAGGGAAACCTGACCCACAAACTGGGAGAGGACATACCACAATTTTTAGAGGAAATGTGGCGTGGCCTCTGTCTCCTGGTGGGCGAGAGGACGTGTTGCTGAATGGTCTGCCTAAGGCTTCATCCAGCCTTGGATATTTGTGCTCCACCGTTGCCCTCCTTTTGTATGCTTGCTTTCAGCATCATATCATCTGGCTTTCATTTGCTGTAGCTTTGTTCTCATCTCCTATATTTTTGGTGCTGTGTAGGGTGTACCACTAGAGCCTGTTGGCTTGGCTCCTTGTATAGTCCACCTGGATGTCCTTGGGGTTCGCACGTGGCTTCAGGCTCTGTTTGCTTCTGTTTTAACCGACTTGGACGGTGTCCTGAGAACAGTGTCGCGAAGGCACTACTAACTGCTGACAATACGTGGAAGCTACGGGACAAGTACTAGGTCTCATCTGGTGCTACCTCCTTGACGGGAAGCCTCTTGGAGACTTTCTGAGATGGTGTATTCTTTCCCTGGATACATTATTAAAAACGTATTAAAGAGCTTGCCCATAGCTGTAATAAGAAATAACATATTTTAAATGCCCAGACATTTGCAAGTTGAGATATGTTCAGAGAAGGAATATATCGTGTAAAAAAGCTAGAGTAGCCAGGTTTTTTTCAGCACTTCACTTTAAAGTGCTCTTGGTAAACTAGTTGCCTCACCACCCCTGAGCAATAGCATGGCTCTCTTGAACTCGGTGGTAACGTTTAATACCACGTCACCTCACTATGTATTTTCTTTGTTTAAATGCATGCTTGCAAAAAAAAAACACGTTCATAGCGTTCTTTGTTTCCTGACTAATGTGTCAGCGTACGTCCAGTGATTCCTCAGGGGAAACTCATTTGGAAGCTGGAGAGAGAAAAAAAGATCTTAGTGGTTTCTGTTTAGGAAGTAGGATTTCATGAATGGGGAGGATGGAAGTAGAAGATCGTTTCTCCACGTGTCTGCTTAGCTTATTACGTTATCTCCTGGAACCTGGAAAGCCGAATTTCAGCCGTTTGTCGATGTGTTTGGGCCCCTGCTGTGAGCAACTGCATAAGATTTTTCCCAAATGAAAAGAATTTTCATGTTTAGAGGATGTTAGGTAATGATACTAATAACGTGGCAAATATTATACGCTTAATAAGTTGCACGTACGCATTGTGCGATACCGTATCCTCATGATAATAGGATGAGGTTTCTGATGACTAGTGAGTAAAATTAACACGTTGTTTACCTAAATCTTTTGGAACGATACCTTTTTCTCACAAGCGTTTGTTGAAACTTCGATGTCTTTTTTGCAGGTACTCCTGAAGACTATCCGCGGTACTTCCACATGAACCTTACAACGGCTGTACTCACGCTCCTAAAGCCCATCAACAGGGATTTGCACCAGAAGTTTGACTTAGTTATTAAGGTAATTTGGACTGACTTCTCATTTCCGTCTACTTTTGAAAACCGCTTAGTAACAGAAAGCCTTAGAGAAAATGTGGGCTAGGCCCGTTGTGGGTTTTTTTGGTGGTTGTTTGGTTTTTTTTTTGTTTTGTTTTTGTTTTTTGACTGTCAGGCATCAATTAACAGAACAGGTGAAGAAGGATGTTGAAGTCTCTTTGAAAAGAGAGCGAATCATGATTGATTTGTTACGTTTCACGTTGTATTAATATCAAATGAACAAACTACATACGACCTGTGCGTTTGTTTTTTATTAACTCAATTGACTTGAGAAAGCACTTGTTTTATATTTCATACGCTCTGGGCAGTTCGCTTCCCATGCTGGAGAATCATAGAGATACAGGTAATAACCAGAACCCTGAACGTGGGAGCAAGGAGGAGGAAAGAAAGGCTCATCCCGCATCCTGTAGTAATTTTTTGGTTGAGGGATGATTCAAAACAGAGCGGCTTGCTCCAGAAGCCTGTTACCGGATAAAAGAAAAGCTCCTGAAAAATGCCCAGCGCTGAGCTCGTTCAGCTCCTGCTGATGGGAAAAAACGTAAACCAATGCCATGGGTTTGGTCTTTCCTAAATCTCCTATCGATAGAGAGTCCAACTTCCGTTCTGTTCTGTAAATATTGTTCTCGCCTTGACGTTACAGTCTAACCTGATACCAGTCTACGTTTCTTAACTGAGCTGCGCGACCGAAGCACCTGTCCGTTAGTTATGAACAGTGCGTCTTTATAGCAAATCTCAAAACATAGCTTGATGTGGTTACTGAGTCGCAGTTTTGCAAGCTTGAAACAATTTCAGTATTCACGACGTTCTTTGCCAGTTTGAGGATCCAGAAGAGGTGATGATATCCCTTGTTTAATTGCTGAGCATGTTAAACCTGTTCAAGCTAGTAAGCTATTAATTTTACCTGGAGTAAAATCATTTGAAGGTGTAAGATTGGCTACAGGTGAACGTTTTGTAACGGAACTGCAAAAATCTGTTCAGCAGAGATGATCTCTAATGACAGTGGAGCAGAATTACATGTGGTCCTTTCAGAGACAGTCTGAGGTTGTCCCTGCAGCTGTTGTCTAACGCCACAGAAAACCATATAGGGTTTGACATATTTATTGGGAGGCAGAGGAGCAAGTAAGGAATGCAATAGTCCAACATAATGAATCACTTGTGTATTTTTCAGAATTGTTTTAAACAGACTGAAAAATGGATATTCCTAGCTTACAGAATGCTTTAACAAAAGAATGACTCGCTCTGTGTGTGTGCATATACATATGTCTATAAAAATATAAAATCACACTCCATCATAAACCTGGGCGTGATGATATCTACCTATCAAAATACGCTTCTGCATGCCAGAGCAGGCCAAGGGAAGAGTGGAGCAAAGAAAAAGCCACACGCAGTAGTTGGCAGTACAAGGAGAAAACAGAGCTTTTGCATTTTAATGGAGCGGAACAGCAAAATGCGGAGCAAAACAGGCAAAGTCAATGGGCAGGAAGCAAAATGGGACAAAATTGATGGGACTAGGGAGTAAACTTTTCACTGCTGTTGCATGCTGAATGGCTAGTATTTGCATTAATGTTTCTGTGGTAATACATGCTTTCTCTCTATAACCATATTCTGCCGCATACCAGTTGTTTTATGTCGAAGCAATAGGTTGCACACCATCCACTCTTTAATTCTCCTTTTTGACACATCCCAGGTCTTAAATCTTGCAAAGCCACCAGCTGGTCCAAAATTTTTTACCAAGCTCCCCATGACTCCCTGATGTAACGTAAAACTTGCAAGGATTCTCCATTTATTTTTAGCATTTGTTAAGCGCGGAACAGTTAGGGACTGAGATTTTCAAGCTCCCTCTGTGCGTTGCAGAGGGAGGAGCAGTTTCTCTGGGAAGATGGTAAGTTTGTTAATGCGCAGACCCTTCCTGTGTATTCTGAGGAATATAACTGGTCACAGTGTGGCAGAAGAGAAACAAAACTGTAGCTTATAGGCACTGGAGGAACGCAGCACCTTTTTTTGCCGGTGTTAATTTCTTGCCACAGTTGATGATTGCGCGTGAGTGCATCAGTGTTCAGAGTGAAATAATTTCCGGTTGGATTCTTCTAAAATAATCTATTTTTGTGCCTCCTTGCCTTGGTGGAGTTCTGCTGTCACTGGGAGAGATGAAAAAACTTGGGTGGATTAATATCTAAATAAACATGCTGTGAAGTTACAGCTTTCATATTACGACAGCAAAACCCTGTAACGTTTTGTTGCGTTGCAGAAATTCAGCAGCCATGTATGGTAGCCCAACACATCAATTAAAAAAAAAATTCAATTTCACTGGTCCAGTAATGCAGTCTGTGTGCCTAAACAGCAAGCGCTGTCGTTCATGGAAATTTTTATAGGCATTAGTAGCTTTGTATTGCTGTGTAATGTGTGCAGTCAAGGGGATAATAAGTGAAACTATCAGTATGTAAGGATGATAATATGCCACCTGCTAGAATAATAACAGTGTTAATGCTGTGTTGTTCCGGGGCCTTTTGAACTGGTATGACGCCTCAGCTTTGTGCCAGGCGAAACCTTCAGATTCGCGTGTTAGGTGTTTTGAAGTTTGCGTTTCGGGCGGCACTGACGTCGTTGAATCTGAATCTCTCTTATCTGGAAGGGTGGCATGAGTGATGTTTCTCTTCAAACAGAAAATACTCTATTTTTATAAAACTCACTAAATTTAATCTTTAAAATGTTCCCTCTGGTATCAGGCGATCATTTTTTTTTTTTCCCCTGTCAAAATAATATGGAAAAAGAGAAATGGAAGAAGCTGGATGAGTCAACACACGTTTACTGGAGTGTGTGAAGTCAGGCTGGCAGGAAGTGGGTACAGTCATCTGCGGTACCAAAACCCTGCACTTCTGATAAATGTTCAGTTCTCATATAGGAAGACAATCGAAAAAGGAAAACTTAAATAAGGAAAGCTGGCTTTCAGCCTCCCTGCAGTCTCTAGAAGTTATTTGAGAACTAAAAATTTTATTTATTTATTTATTTTAAAGAAGGAATAGGAGTCCTTGAGGCCAGAAGCGGAGCTGGGCTCTGGTAGCCCAGAAGCCGGCTGCGGGGTGGCCCCAGGGAGTGAGGCAGCAAATTCGTTAGCCCCCAGGGAAGCCCATTGCTTTCCTGCCGAGCAACAAGGGCTTTTTATTAATTTAAAAAAAAAAAAAAATTTTTTTTCTCTTTGCAAAACTGAAATTTCCATGGGGCAGCTGCAAGGCTGTCAGAATAAGCATGTGGATTTAGAGCCTTTAAACTGAAAGGGCTTTCCTGTCTTGTTAACACTGTATCAAAAAATACAGCCTCTGTGAGGCTGACTCCAAAACGTGTAAGCCTCCGAGTCTAAGGAATTGTAGACGGCCTTCCTGTTTACCTCCCGTTTCTCCTGTTTCCCAGAACTGTTCCTAAGATGAGAATAATTGTTGTTTGAAATCGTTTCCCCCTTTTGGAGGAAGTCTTCTATGTTTATGTAAATACATATGTTTACACTTGTGCGCCCCCACTGACACACTTTTAATTGTAGTTTGAAGATTTACGTCCATAAAGGTAGAAATGGCACGTCCCTCTGCAGAGCAGACAATTTGGGGAGCGGACAACCTCCGGAGCAGGCAATCTGGGTTTGCAAAAAGCGATTGCTAGAGAAACGAAACCAAAGCTGCGCTTAGAAGCAACGCCCTTTCTGCTATCTCAAAGGCTCAGGAAAATAATGACTTCTTTGATTGGGAGCCTTGCTTAAACGTCTGCTGATATTCTCAATAAAATAATGCATCTATTAAAATGACATTTCCTTAGCGTTGCTGCCACAGTTGCTGTCTTTGTCCTAGAGGGCAATGATTTGCAATAGGAAGGATTGCAGTCGGCTTATTCCTAAGCAGAGTTAACTTCACCTCAGGTAGCGATGTGCTTTTCAGAAGGGGATATAGCTGCTTGGAGAGAGAGTCAGCAGCGTGGATCGTCTTTTTTGCGGGGGGAGGCGGGAGGGGAGACCGTTATTGCTGCCAGCTCTAAAAAGTGTCAGTGAGCTTTTTATTTCTTTTTGAAGCATGTATACCATGAAAAAACAGGAAAAAACGTTCATCTAATTGATGCACTTGGATCCTTTTGTATGAGAGCATCAGTTATTTATCAGTTGGTCAATTATTTAACCTGACAGCTCTATTAAAACCGCTTTCAAAAGGGCATTGAATACTGACGACTTAAGATGCGCTTAGAGAGCCAACAAAGCACTAATGAATGGAAACGCTGTGCTACCGAGGGATTCACCACATCTGTAAAAGGCCAGATTGTGATACAATCACTTGTGCCGAGGGTCCGTTCACTTCCTAGGCGCTCGGGCGGCTTTGCAAGGAGCCACAGAAAGCTCTTGCTTTATTACAAAAACCCAAAAAACTAAAAAGCTTTGTTTGAAAACGTCATGGTTTCGTAGATTATTTCAGTGTTGTGTAGAGCAACAAATGAGCCTCCTTTAAGTAAATAAGTAACAGTGTTGTCTACTGCAAGCACAGGAGTTTTTGCATCTCTGTTAAGACCCCCCCAACGTCCTAATAAAGACATTGCCAGAGTAAAGCTTGTAGTGCAGTGCAGGGACGTTTTATTTCTTACCAGAGAATTAAATCACGGACGCTTTTAGTTCTGTAAACGTTACTGCCTCCAAAAATGAGTATTCAGGTGCTCGGAGGATAAGCGAAGAGGACGTCTGAGTCAAATCGTTTTTTCTTTTTTTTGAAAGAACTAAATAGAGACGCGCTTAGACTATTTCTTTCAAACGGCTACAAAAAGCGTATGTTAAACACACGCCTTTCCATAAACACAGCGCACATACTTAGGTGTGCGTGTTTATGCAAGCACTTACGGTTTTCATGAGTCACTGTAGTTCTGTACGTCGGAGGAACGTTTTCTCTCTAACAGCAGAGTAGAGTGAGGCGCTGACAAGTGGGGTTAACTAAAATGCTG